ATATAAACATAGTATCATAGGATGAGGCTTGGTTTCTTTGAAGATGGTTGTGAAATAAATATCCCAGAATTCCAATTCATTCCTCAGTCACTAAGAAGAGAGATGATGACAGGGAGGGCCAGACAAAGGTGGGAAGACAACTAATGGATGGGAGATGAAGGTGTGTAATGCCCATTTCCATAGTGGGAACATGAAGAAGGAATTCAGTGAGTTTCTTGAAAGATGGGCCAGAATTCACAGTGGAGAGCTGATGTTCCAGGAAGCAGAGTCTAAGTTATTTGAGGCACACAACTTACCCAGTGAGACCAAGTTACTGTAGTTCTCCAACATCACATCCCAGTACAGATCCCGCTGAGCAGAGGTCAGACAGGCCCATTCCTCCTGAGAGAAGTCTATGGCTACATCAGAGAATGTCACCACACCCTGAAAACATAAAAATCCACATACTCCTGATGAAAGGAAACAGTTTCAAGATGAGGGAAAGAAGACAAAAGGCTACCATCTGGGTAGAGAAAAATACAGTGAGTAGACCGAATGCCTGTGATATGGGAAGAGGGTGGTAGGGGGGAACATCTTAACTGTGACTGACGCAGAATACCTACATGTTACTGAAGAGCCCTACTGCTGCACAGAAAATGACCTGCACTCTGTGGCATTCTTAATTATTCAGACTTGTCAGGAAGTGGGTAAAACAACCATTTCCTTTTGTTTATAAGCACAGAGTCTGCTACATGCCTGCCTTGCAAATTCTCAACAAGTATGGATTCCTATAGCATTCTTTTTTTTTTTTTTTTTTTGACACAGAGCCTCACTTTGTTCCCCGGGCTAGAGTGCCTTGGTGTCAGTCTAGCTCATTGCAACCTCAAACTCCTGGGCTCAAGCAATCCTTCTGCCTCTGCCTCCCAAGTAGCTGGGACTACAGGCATGCGCCACCATGCCTGGCTAATATTTTCTATATATTTCTTTTGACTATCCAAGTAATTTCTTTCTGTTTTTAGTAGAGATGGGGTCTCGCTCTTGCTCAGGCTGGTCTTGAACTCCTGAGCTCAAATGATCCACTAGCCTCGGCCTCCCAGAGTGGTAGGATTACAGGCGTGAGCCACTGCACCCGGGCCTCTTTTTTTTTTTTGAAGGGAAAAGAAAATCCTGAGATTTTTGTTTGTTTAATATATTTTATTTTAGAAAACATGTTTTGCATGTTTGACTATTTTCAAGCCTCAAGTTCATCAATGTGGCAAATTACACTTTAAGCTGTTTTCCTTTGTAATGACAAAAACACGTTCTAACTCTGGGAGGCCAAGGTGGGAGGATTGCTCAAGGTCAGGAGTTTGAAACCAGCTTGAGCAAGAGCAAGATCCTCTCTCTACTAAAAATAGAAAGAAATTAATTGGCCAACTAAAAATATATAGAAAAAATTAGCTGGTGGTGCATGCTTGTAGTCCCAGCTACTCAGGAGGCTAAGGCAAAAGGATTGCTTGAGCCCAGGAGTTTGAGGTTGCTGTAAGCTAGGCTGATGCCATGGCACTCTAGCCTGGGCAACAGAGTGTGTGTCTCAAAAAAAAAAAAAAAAAAAGAGAAAAAAAGCATGTTCTTAGTCTATTAAAAACTTAGGTTGATCAAAGCATCTAAGGTTAACCCCAATAGTGGAGGTATAAGATCACCTACTGCTTCCATACTAGAAGATCCTTGTGTTTGTTACTATTCATAACTCCTGCCTTTTCCCTGTTCATAACTGAGAAGATATTGGTTGTCAAATGATTCAGAATCACACAGAGGTCTGGCAGGAATTTTATTGTTCATTCAACAATAAAATTTATTCCCCAGTTTCCCTAGCAAGAACATGGTCTCTGTCCATAGGCCCTAATCACAACCTTATCCAATTCTAAAAGCCCATAATGCTTGAGGTCTCACCACACTGAGACCAATAAGTAGGAACATTTCCTTTTATCTAGCTAGAAAACACCATCAGTGGAAAATTTATTTTCTCATGTGGTCAAATAGAATCAACTTATCTAACTCATCAAACAACAAATTTAAATATTTCTCTCAAGGGTCTTTGTTCTTTCATTGCTCCAACATTACTCTTGACAAAAAAAAGTGAGCAAATAGGTAACACTGAATAATGTGCTCAATGATTAAGTAAACATTATCCAAAAAAATAGACATTGGTCTATAATGGCATTATCATTCACTGGAATAGAAAGAAAGGGGAAATGGTAATTAGATGGGGCTTGATTAGGTAGAAGGCTTTGTATAATTAACAAAAATATCCACAAAACCCAAAAATCACATTTCAAGAAAAAAAGAGAAATACACACTTACCTGGGCCATGGTTTTAGAATTCAAGAATTGATCAGTCTTCTTGGAGTCCCTACAGAAGACAAAAATTCCAAGAGGCCAGAGCTAGGGATGGAAAAACAGACATTAAAACCAGGTGCACCTTGGGTTCCCAAAATGACTTAATATGACTTTTTGCTCCTCCATCTTGGCTTCCCAACATAAACATGACAAATGTGGGGAAGATTAACAGGATTCTAGATAAAACCAAACACCTTCCTAAAACCCCAGGAAGCTCAGCTGCTTATAGCAGAGGGGCTTTTGTTTTTCCTTCCCTTTTTGGCTTGACGGCATACCCAGACACTTCAGCAGGACGATTTCTGGCTAGCTACCTACTGAGAGTTGGAGGATGGGATGTAGTAAAGAATTTGGACTTATCCAAAAAGAGGTCTGGCCTTGCCCTCAGCTTCTGAGAGGTAATCCATATCATACCTGATAGGAATGTCTTCGTTTTTGGTGGGGGCTCAGCACACCAGAAAGACCAACCAGGTGATTCAGGCTGAGGGCTTTGGGTCACGCGGTTAGCAGCTGATGTGGAGTCTGAAATTCATCATGTAGACAATCAATCCATTAATCATGCTTGTGTGTTGATGCCCCAATAAAAAATTTAGACATCAGAACTTGGGTACGCTTCCCTGGTTGCCAACAGTTGGTGCTTATTGTCACACATCACACAGCAGAGTAACGAGTCCTGATTCCACAGGGGGAAGACACCAAAAACTACATGTCTGGAATACTGCTTGACTTTAACTGATGTGCTTCTTTCCTTGGCTGCTGTTAATCTGTACCCTTTCCCTGTAACAGACTATAACCATGAGTATACCATCTCTCAGTGAGGGTTCTGTGAGTCCTTCTAGTGAACTGTTGAACCTGAGGGTAGTTTGGGGAACCCTTCAAACAAGCAGCTGTTGTTGTGGTCTTGTGTAGAGATGGTACCCTAAAATCTTGCAGATTAGCTAACTGTGTGCAGGGGGGATTGTGATCTAGATCTGAGAATGGGTGCTTAGGATGTTTAGTCTCATTCTGAGCATATCCTGGTCCCTCTAGATAACCCTTCAGGGTGAAGAGGGTCTGTATCATACAAACTTGGACCTCCTCTTGCCTCTAGAGCAGGTGATGTTACTCAAAATACAGCAGGTGGACGGAGTGGAAAAGGAACTGCCCTGGCTGAGTTCAGTACCCTTGAGTCCAGAAAAGCTGACTACATAATTACATGTAGAATATCAAAGTAAAAAAGTAAATGGTAACCAAATTCTAAGTTGAAAGAAATACTTAAAGACATGAGACATATTTCAGATACACTGTAAGTAGAAAAGTTAGCTTACCCAAACAGGATACATTTGTAAAATTCTATATATGACTATAAATGTTTATATGTGTATACACACATATACATGTATGTATATGGAGAGAGAAAGAGATAGGGAGGGAGGGAAGGAAGGAGTAAGAGAGGGAGGAGGACACAGACAGACATACACATGCTGACAAACCAACCATATGATAACAGCAGAAAGAAAACAGATATAAAAACAGAAATAGTGAAACAGAAAGAAACAGTCTGGGAAGTTGTATTTCCCTTACATAGAAAACATACTAAGTATGTTTTCTGTAAGCCTATTCACAAACTGGTCCTTGGCATCTGGGAATCAGATTCCAGAGTGTTCTCACCATTCCTTAAAATTTAAGAGGGACTTGCAGTGCTTCAACTGCTTGTATAAATAATGTGGTTTATGCTGAATACTTGCTTTCCTCTGGGAGTCTAGAAGTTCAGATTGTGCTAAATAGAGTGTATGTATGTAACTGAATGAACCTTGATAAAAACCTTGGACCACCAGACATTGGTGAGCTTCCCTGGTAGGCAACATGCAACAGGTGTTGTCTTATTGCATTGCTGGATGAATGAAGAACATTCTGTGTGATTTCACTGAGAAATGACTGAGAAAGATTGAGCCTGGTTTCCTCCCAACTTGTCCCATGCATCGAAATCTGCTAATTTTGCTTTGTATCCTTACAGTGGAATAAATCAGTCATGAACAGGACTAAGTGTTGAGTCCTGGAAAAGAGTAGTTTTTTTTTTTGAGACACAGTCTCACTTTGTTGTCCAGGCTAGAGTGCCGTGGTATCAGCCTAGCTCACAGCAACCTCAAACTCCTGGGCTCAAGTGATCCTCCCGACTCAGCCTCCAGAGTAGTGGGGACTACAGGCATGCACCACCATGCCCAGCTAATTTTTTCTATATATTGAGTTGTTCCACTAATTTTTTTTTTTTTTAAATCAAACTGTTTATTGTTGCTTTTTGCCATTTGGTAGCATTTTACACATAGGCTTCAATCTTCAGAATACCCTGGATTCAGTAGAAAGCTCTTTAAATGAAGTTTTGTACAAAAGAAACTTCTTAGCAGTCAAAATTTAGACTGTAAAGAAATACATGCAAAACATATTTTCCTGAAAACACTTAACTTTGAACAAAGCACCGAACTACACAAATACAGAATGAAAACAGCATTTCAACTCCACCAAAAGTAGTTGTCATAAAAGGTATAAAAGTCACCTAATTACACTAGGCACTGTTCACTTTTTAAACGAGACAATAAAAAAATATTGTCCACAAACAATATCCCAGCTCTAGGGCAGGTTTCAGAAAGTCTTCAATTTCATGCTTTAATAGCAACGAGGTGAGTATGATCAAGATCTGGAACGTGATCTGTATCCTCCACGACTGTAGTAAGGGGAAGGTGACCGCCTTCTATAAATCTGATCCCTGTCTTGAGCAGCTCTCCATCCTCCTCCTCCATTTCCTCCTCCTCTATATGATCTGCTATAGTAGTCCCGATCATCGTGGCCTCGATTGTATGCTCTGTCATAATAATCCCGACGGCGTGAACTGCCATAGGTGGGCCTTCCCATGTAAATTCCTGGTGTTGGGGTATGTGGTCTTTTTGTTATAGAGAAATCAACTCTGATCCTCCGACCATCAAGCTCCATTCCATTGGCACGTTCTCTAGCTTCCCTGGCATCATCTACATTTTCAAAATATACAAAGGCAAATCCTCTTGAACGCCTAGACTGCTGGTGATATACAACAGAGACATCCGCAATGGTACCGTATTTAGAGAACACTTCTCTTAGATCTCTTTCTGTGGTGTACAAGCTCAACCCAAACACTCCAAGACAACAGTTGGGATCAGGATTCACCCGATTCCCAACATGACGCCTGCGAGTAGACATGGGAGAATGACTGTGGCTGTGCCGTCTGCGATAATCGTGACTGTAAGACCTGCTCCGGGATCGTCTATGGGAGCGGGAACGAGACCGTGACCTGGTATGCCTTCGAGAGCTTCTTCTGGACCTAGACCTAGATTCAGATCTGGACCTGGACTTTGATCTGGAACGCCTGGAATCTTCCTTGGAGCGAGACCTTGCAGGGGTATGCCTTGCAGATTTCCCCGATCCGTGAGCACTTCCACTTCTGGAAGCATAACGGGATTCCCGCTCGCCGCCGTAGTTCTGTTCGCCGCTGTTGCTCATGACTTCTGGCTGCTGTCGCCGCTCGATGTGCTTCAATTGAAGCTGCCAACCTGTTGTGCCTTCTTTAAAGAGGCTCCGCCACAGCCTCACACGATGCACAGGTTTCCCAGCCGCTCAGAACTGAAGCGCTCTGCGCCGCCTCCGCACGGGCTCTAACTCTCTAATTTCTTTCTGTTTTTAGTAGAGATGGAGTCTTGCTCTTGCTCAGGCTGGTCTTGAACTCCTGGCCTCAAGCTACTTCCTGCCTCGGCCTCCCAGAGTGCTAGGATTACAGGCGTGAACCTCCACACCTAGCCTCTAATTTTAAAAGGCTGTCTTTCTTGATAATTTGTTGGCATGGATTAGATTCTACTGTGTCATCTCTAATCCTATAAAGTAGAAATATTTGAGAGACATTTCAAAGCAAGACAAAGATCACTGGCATGCCCTTGCCCTCCCAAAATGCACACAGGTATAATGTGATCCATGGCTGGGTTCGATTCCTTTAATAAACTAAGATTTAGAGAGTCTTTGGCTCTTTTACATGATTAATTAGCAAGATCCAATGCTCCAGAAACAAAACACACGTGCTTGGAGGCAAAGAGCATGACTGGAAACATACACACCAAAATGTTAACAGTAATTATCCCTGGATGCTACAATTATGGGTAATTTAGAGATTTAGAGATTCTTCTATAATAGCTCTTTAGGGACTGACCTTGAGTGATACACCAAATATATTCTTAAATGAGGTTTCTAGGTAACTAAAACACTTTCCACAGATGCTACTGTTAACAACCATTAGTAGAGCTAAATATTATGTCACATGCACTTTATTTCTTATGACTATCTCTAAACACACTTCTTTGTACCTGCATGTTCTCGTAAAATAAATGTGGTATGATTACTTAAACATTTCCATCATCCTGAACACTAACTGTGCTTAAGGTAACATAATCTTTGATTTTACACTAATGGGTCTAAATCTCATTATGGCATGTCACCCTTCTAATGTCTTGCGATTATGGAGCACCCCTTCACTAAAAATAAAAAAAAACAAACATAAAAAAACACACATGGCATATAAACTGTGTATACAATTTCTTTTGGAAAGTAATAAATGGAGTTAAAGAAAGGACCTCAGGTTAAATATTCCTGTTGTAGACCACTGAGACTCAGCTTCATTTTGTGAATTTGCAAATATCCATCACAACTACCTTCGTGTGTATGCTGTTCCTGTATACGCATCCAGATTTGCGACATTAACAACCACAGCTAACATTTACTGAGCACTTATGCTACAGGGCACTGTTCTATAAGAGTTTTACATTTAGTAATGCATTTCATTCACATCTGAATCCCTTCTTCAGAGAGTGCAATAAGCTAGCGAGAAGCAGAGATAGGAATGAAATCCTGGTAATTTACATCTTGAGTCTGGGTTGTCCTATAAACACAAATCACATAAAAAAAAAAAAAAAAGGAAACTCACCTGTATCTCTATTTTAAGATGTATAGCAATTCTTCCCCTGCAGAGGTGCCTATTCTGAAGAATGCAGACCTAAGGGAAAGAGGAAGATAAAAAATGATGCAATAGGGCCTTTCTGGAGTACAGGCAGTCTTAGAATATCTTCTAAGCCACACTGGCCCCCAGGCCATATCTAAACCAGATCAGAAGTCAGAGGGCCACAAGACCCGAATCTCTGAGAGATTCCTGAAGACTAAGCTCTGAAACTGAGGTTGCGACAGGCGTAGCTGCCCCTTCTTCCCACCTCCCCCATCGCAGGGGCCTCTCTCCCTACAAAAGGGATTCCACCCGAGGCCACTTCCTCCTGTCACGCAGGTGGCTCCATGGCTGTAACAGTGTCCCCTGGTGACTATGTCTGTATCTTTCTTGTTGACCATTTTCACCACCGGATTCAGGCTCTCACGTCCCTTTGCAGCCACTCGTCTCAGGCAGGTACCGCGCGGTCGCGAGGCGAGGACAGAAACCGGCAGAGACTTTCGAGCCACAGGTTGTAGCTCCGCAGACAGCCGAGCTCACACAAAAGCCCGTCCGCCTAGTCGCTCGGTCACCCAAGCACAAACCTGCGCCCCTCACGGCCTCGCGAAAACACACAATGCCACGAACACACGCCTGCCCTGCCAACCGCACGTATGTGAAAAGACATACGTGCGTCCGCGACGGAGACACATCCCGGCCGTGCCGCCCCAAGCCCGCGAAAACGTACCTCACGGCGCGGGGTCCGGAGGCGCCGCCGGCCGCTCCCCGCCCCACGGATGCTCACCGCCCGGGCTCCGCCGCCCGAGCTTCTAGAACACCCTGCGTCACAGATATGGAGAGAGGGCCGCGCCGCGTCCGCCCCCCACTCCCTCTGGCAAATGCGTCACTCAGCCACACGTCCTGTGCCCGTCACCCCCGCAGCGCATACGCACGTACATCTCTCTGCACGCACTGGCGCCAGACGGCAGCTGCGTCACCGATGCAGATGCTCCCGCGGCACGGTCCCCAAGGCCCCCAGTGACGCTCGCACGCACACCTGTGTCACAATTACGAGGACAGAGCCAGCCTCGTCAAGCCCGCACACGCCCACGCAAGTGCGTCACACGCGCTCTGTCCCTGTCTGCCGGCCGACACGAATGCGCATGCGCGCACATCCCAGTCGCGGGGTCTGGCCTCGGCCTCCCAAGCGGCCGGTGCGCGCTCACGTGAGCATCTCGGCACGGATGCGCGCTCACGCGGACACAGATACGGTGCGCCCTCACGCGGGCATCTCGGCATGGATGCGCGCTCGCGCACAGAACCGGCCATACGCACGCACGCACATACATGCACACTGACGTGCGGGCGCACACACTAGCGAGTGCATGTTCCTGCCCGCACATATACACACGTGTGCGCGAGCACACGCACATACGCTGTCACACGCACATCATATACGCGCGCACAAACACGCACGCATGCGCGCCCCACCTCCAGGCCACAGGTTGCGGCTGTTTCGCGCCCTCTCGGCAGGGCGGCTCCCTCACCGCGGTCCCCACCCAACCCTGGGTTCCGGCTTCTTCCAGGGAAGCGAACATTCCCCACCAGGGCCCAACCCCCGCGGGACCCAGGCAGGGGCGCAGGGGCCGGGGAGGGCCCCGGACGGTTTCCCGGGAAACCGGCGCCTACATGTCCCTACGTGTCCCAGCATGCAACTCAGCGCCCCCCCACCCGCCTGGCCACACAGACCTCTGGGAAATGGAGTCCAGAACATTCTCCGGCGCGGGTCTGACAGCGGACCCGACAGGGCTGTCAGGGCGGACGGTGTCACTCTGAGCACGTCCTGCCCACTGGAGACAGCCCTTGCTCTGAGAAGAGGGGCCGAGTCGCCCAGCTCGGAACTCGTGTGGCCTCCGGACCGGGTGCTCCGGTCCAGACGTGGCGGCCCTCAGGATGCTGCCCCTTCCCAGCAGCTCTGGGCGCCGGCTCGGACTCCCTTCGGGCCTCGCTCACGGGCGCCCGGAGCTGCCTCCGTCCGGTGTCCCTCCTTGCTGCCCTACAGCGACCTACAGGGAGCGGCTACGGCCGGTGAGTCATTCATTCTAAGTGCTAATTTCACAGCGCTCGGCATAGGTCGGCACGTAATAAATGTCTGATTTTTGACTCAGAATTCCACTTTTTGGAACTTGTATGAAGGAGATTTCTATGGAGTACGTAAATGTATGCCCACGTATGTTCACAGAACATTTTTCTTTGAAAGTTTTTCGCTTTTAAATCGATAGAACTGTAGCCTCATATTTACTTGTAAGAAATAATACTGAGAGATCCTGTGTACCTTTCACCAGACCATCCCAACTGGGGATTAGTATAATATCACAAGCGGGACATTAACATTGATATGATCCATTGATGTTACCTAAATTTCTAGAGAATAGCTTTTCTCCTTTTTAAAATTTTTTTCCTTCCATTTAATTTTTTTTCTTCTACTTCTGAAGCACATGGAGAGAATAGTTTTTAAAAGTGAAAATTTCACAGTAGAGGACACATAAACAGTTTTGTTCCCACTGGGCCAGGTGGCTCACACCTTTAATCCTAGCACTCTGGGAGGCCAAAGCAGGCGGATTGCCCGAGGTCAGGAGTTTGAAACCAGCCTAAGCAAAAGTCAAACCCTGTCTCTACTATAAATAGAAAGAAATTAATTGGCCAACTAATATATATAGAAAAAATCAGTGAGGCATGGTGGTGCATGCCTGTAGTCCCAGCTACTCGGGAGGCTGAGGCAGTAGGATTGCTTGAGCCCAGGTGTTTGAGGTTGCTGTGAGCTAGGCTGACGCCATGAAACTTACTCTAGCCTGGGCAACAAAGTGAGCCTCTGTTTCAATAAAAAAAAGAAAGTTGAGTTTTTAAGACCTTAAATTATAATATAACTATAAGATGCTTTATGTAAGTCAGTATGGCAAACACAGAGAAAAAACATCTAGTAGATACACAAAAGATAAAGAGAAATTATCAAAGCATACCACCATAAAAGTCTGTTAACACATCACAGAGGATGGCAATAAGACTGGAAGAAAAGAATAATGGAAAGACAAAACAATCAGTAAACAATTAACACAATGACAACATTAAGTGCTTACCACTCAATAATTACATTAAATATAAATGGATTATAGTCTTTAATCAAAAGAAGGTGGATGAATGGATAACAAAACAAGACTGAAGAATAAGCTACTTATAAAACTCATTTTAGACCTTGGACACACATAACAGCAAAGTAAGAGACAGAAAGAGATATTCCATGTCACTGGAAACCAAAAGAGAGGAGTGTTTACACCTGTATCAGACACAATAGACTTTAACTCAAAAACTAAAAACAGAAAAAGATCATAATATAATGATAATATAATGAAAAAGGTCAATCAAGATAATATATCAATTATGGATATGTATGCACATAACACAGGAGCACCTAAATATATAAAGCAAATATGAAGACATTCTAAAGGAGAGACAGATTTCTACTTCAGACAGTAGAAAGAAACTTCACACCCTACCTTCTACAAAGAACAATCATTCAGACAAAATTAATAAGGAAACATTAGACTTGAATTACACTTTAGACGAAATGAATCTAACAGATATATTTCACACTTTTTAACAGTAGAAAATACACTCTCCTAAGGTGCACATGAAACATTTTCCAGGATAGATCATATATTATGTCATGTAACAAAATTTAAGGAATTTAAGAAGACAGAAAGTATATCAAGTATCTTTTCAAATCACAAAAGCATGAACCTGGAAATGAATAACAAGAATAATTTAGGTAAATTCACAAATACGTAGAAATTAAACAAGACACCAAACAACCAATGGACCAGAGAAGAAGTTAAAGGGGAAATTAAAAAATATTTTGAAAGGAAATACAATATCCCCAAATTTATGGGAGGTAGCACTTCTAAGAGAGATATTCACACCAATAAATGCCTGTATCGAGAAAAAAAAGAAATATCTCAAACAACTTTTCACCTCCAGTAACAAGAAAAAGAACAAACTAAACTCAAAGTTGGTAGAAGGGAGAATAAAGATCAGGGCAGTAACATATGAAATAGAGACTGGAAAAACAGTATAAAAATATCAACAAAACTCAGAGTTTTTTTTTTAAAGACAGTGTCTTGGAGGGGAGGCAAGATGGCAGACAAGAGACACCACCAGACAGAGCAGCTCTGCGAGAAGGAGAAATTTTAGATGAAAGAGGAAAAAAAAAAAAAAAACACAGACAAACAAAGATAGAATGAGGGTTGGAAGGAGGGGTGTCTGAACCTATAGGAGAGTCCATGGGAAAAGGTTGTGGAGCAGAACTGGAAAGAGAAAGGCATTGGTGGCAGGGATTAAGCCCTAAGAGGATTAGAGACCAGTGAGAATGGGTAGGTAGAGCAGTTAAAATTCCTCTCCCTTGCATCTTAGACTGTCATCCAGCTTCAGCCACTCAACCTCCCTTCACTGAGTTGGACAATAAGGACACACCTAAAAGTCCCAGGGCCCCACCCACCCACTACGTGGAGCACTTGAGTGCTTTTCCTGAGGAACTAGAGCTGGTCGCAGGACCCCAAAAGGCACTGCAATCTGTTCCTTCTAGAAAGCACCACCTACTGACAGGCAGGTCAATTTGCATGCACTTTTACTGCATTTACTAACTCATCGTACAGGGTGTGGTTGATTCCCACCCATAAGCACCGCTTACTGGCTAAGAGACTAAACTGAGCATGTCATTATTTAAACAAAATAAAATCCAAAGGTTAAGAAACAACAGCTACTCCAGATGAGAAAGAATCAGTGAAAGAACTCTGGAAGTATGAAGCATCAAAGTGAAAGGATAACCCCCAAACAAACACCAGCTTTTTAGCAATGGATACCAAGCAAAATCAGAACACTGAAATGACAAAGATGAAGAATTTTCAACGTGAATTGTAAGGAAACTCAATGAAATGCAAAATAAAATGGAAACCCAATACAAATAAACCACAAAAAGGCAAGAAATGAATGAAAAATTCACTAAAAAATTGAAATATTCAAGAAAAACCAAACAGAACTTCTGGAAATAAAAAAATTATTTGAAGAATTACAAAACACAGTGGAAAGCCTTAAGGATAGGTTAGATCAAGCAGAAGAAATAATCTCAGAGATTGAAGACAACATCTTTCAATTAAACAAGTCAGTCACAGAGATAGAGCAGAGAAATAAGAGATTGGAGCAATGCCTACAAAAAATGTGGGATTATGTGAAGAAGCCTAATGTAAGAATGACAGGCATCCCTAAGGGTGAAAAAGAAAATAGACAAAGGTTGGATAATCTATTTGAGGGAATAATGTAGGAAAATTTCCCTGGCCTTGCTAGAATTCTAGATATCTAGGTGGAAGAAGCTCAAATGACTCCTGGGAGATCTACTACAAACAGGAAAACACCATGACACACATAGTCATCAGAATGTCCAAAATAAACACAAAAGAGGCCCTCCTACAAGGTGTAAGGTGAAAGCAGCAAGTAACCTACAAAGGAAAACCCATCAGATTAACTGCAGACTTCACAACTGAGACCTTACAAACCAGATGGGACTAGGGCCCCATTCTCAGTCTTCTCAAATACAATAATGCCCACCCTAGAATTTTGCATTCTGCAAAACTAAGTTTCCTATAGGAAACTTCATATTTGAAAGAGAAATAAAGATCTTCTCAACAAGCAAACACTGAAGGTATTTGTCAAGACAAGATCTGCCCTCCAGGAAGTACTCAGAACAGTGTTACAAACGGATCAGCACAATAGACAAAATCATCCAAAAAGCTAAAGGTAAAGGCATCTACCACAATGGCTGAAGAGAGAAAACAAAGCAACAACATTCAACTCAACAGGATGAACAGAAATCTGCATCACTTATGAATTCTTTAAATAAATGTGAATGGCTTGAATTGCCCACTAAAGAGACATATGCTGGCTGAATGGATAAGTATACATAAGCCAAGTATCTGCTGTCTTCAGAAAACACATCTAACCATAAAGGACTCATTCAGACTCAAGGTGAAGGGATGGAAAACAATATTTCATGCAAATGGAAACAAAAAGAAAGCTAGTGTGGCAGTTCTCATTTCAGATAACTTAGTATTTAAACCAACAAAAGTAATGAAAGATAAATATGGTCATCATATAATGGTAAAGGGAACAATTCAATAAGATGACATAACAATTCTAAACAGCTATACACCTAACACAGGTACACCCAGATTCATAAAGCAAATCCTACTTGAGCAAAACAAAATGATAAAGAGCAGCACTGTAATAACAGGGGACTTCAACACCCCTCTGACAGAAAGGACAGATCCTCCAAACAGGAAATAAAGAAACAATGGACTTAAACAGGACTTTAGAACAAATGGGTCTGACAAACATTTACAGAACATTTTACCCAAAAACCACTGAATATATGTGTTCCTCATCAGCTCATGGGACACTCTCTAAGACCGACCATATCCATATCCAGAAAGCATGTCTTAACAAATTTAAAAAGTAGAAATTATACCATGCATCTTCTCAGACCACAGTGGAATAAAATTAGAAATCAACTTCAACAGAAAGACTCATCTCTACACAAAGTCATGGAAACTAAACAATGTACTGCTGAATGATAGTTGGGTAAAGGAAATTAAGATGGACATCAAAAGATTCTTTGAATTAAATGATAAAGGGGGCACAAATTATCAAAATCTGTGGGACACAGGTAAAGCAGTCCTGAGAGAAAATTTATAGCCTTAAATGCCTACATCTAAAAGACAGAAAGATCACAAATCAACAATCTAATGAATCATCTCAAGGAACTAGAAAAGGATGAGCAAACCAATCCCAAACCCAGAAGAAGAAAAGAAATAATCAAGATCACAGCAGAACTAAATGAAATAAAAAACAAAAAAACTATACAGAAGTTTAATAAAAGAAAAAGTTGGTTTTTTGAAAAGATAAACAAAATTGACATGCCTCTTGCTAGATTAACCAGAAGCAGAAAAGAAAGGACTCTAATAGCTCAATCGGGAATGAAAAAGGAGAAATTACAACTGATACCATGGAGATACAAAATATTATCTATGAATACTATAAAAATCTCTCTGCACATTAACTTGAAAATGTGAAGGAAATGGACAAATTCTTATAAACACACAGGCTCCTTAGGCTCAATCAGAAAGAAATAGAATTCCTGAAAAGACCAATATCAAATATAGAAATTGAAGCAGCAATAAAAACCCTTTCTTAAAAAAAAAGTCCTGTATCTGACAGTTTCACACCTGAATTCTAGCAGACCTACAGAGAAGAACTGGTGCCTATCCTGTAGAAATTATTCCACAACATTGACAAGGAAGGATTCCTCCCAAACACTTATTGCCAAGCCAATATCACCCTGATACTAAAGCCTAGAAAGGATTCAACAACAACAACAAAACTACAGACCAATATCCTCTATGAATATAGATGCAAATACTCTCAATAAAATCCTAGCAAACTGAATTCAGGTGCTTCTAAAAAAAAAAAAAAATCAATCATGACCACGTGGGCTTCATCCCAGAGATGCAGGGATGGTTCAACATACACAAAATATATGCAAATCTATAAATGTAATTCACCAGATAAACAGAAGTAAAAACAAAGAACATATGATCCTTTCAATAGATGCAAAAAAAGCATTCAAGAAAATCAGTACCCTTTTATGATAAAAAACGCTTAACAAAATAGGCATAGAAGGTACTTACCTCAAAATGATAAAAGCCATATGTGACAAACCCAGAGCCAACATCATACTGAATGGGGAAAAAAAATGAAAGCATTCCTGCTTAGAACTTGTACCAGACAAGGTTGCCCTCAATCATCACTTCTATTAAACATAGTGCTGGAAATCCTAGCCAGAGCAATCAGACAAGAAAAGGAAATGAAAGGCATCCAAATGGGGCAGAAGAGGTCAAACTGTTGCTCTTTGCTGATGATATGATCTTATATCTAGAAAACCCCAAAGATCCTGCCATGAGACTACTGGAATTGATAAATTCAGCAAAGTGTCAGGTTACAAAATCAATGTACACAAATCAGTAGCACTCATATACACCAACAGTCAAACTGAGAACCAAATCAAAGACTCAATGCCTTTCACAATAGCAACAAAGAAAATAAAATACCTAGGAATATATTTCACAAAGGAGGTGAAAGACTTCTATAGGGAGAAGTATGAAATGCTGAGGAAAGAAATAGCAGGGAATGTAAACAGATAGTAAACCATACCATGCTCATGGATGGGCAGAATCAACATTGTTAAAATGTGTATACTATCCAAAGTGATCTACAGATTCAATGCAATCCCCCTTTCTTTTTGGCAGTGCGTGGTGGCAAGATGGTGGTACAGATCTCCAAAAAGAGGAAGTCTGTCGCTGATGGCATCTTCAAAGCTGGACTGAATGAGTTTCTTATCGGGAGCTGGCTGAAGATGGTGGCTACTCTGAAGTTGAGGTCCGAGTTACACCAACCAGGACAGAAATCATTATCTTCGTCACCAGAGCACAGAATGTTCTTGGTGAGAAGAGCCAGCACATTTGGGAATTGACCACAGTAGTTCAGAAGAGATTTGGCTTCCCAGAGGAAGAGCTTTATGCTGAAAGGGTAGCCATGAGAGGTCTGTGTGCCACTGCTCAGGCAGAATCTCTGTGTTACAAATTCCTTGGAGGGCTTGCTGTGCAGAGAGCTTGCTATGGTGTGCTGCGGTTCATCATGGAGAGTGCAGCCCAGGGCTGTGAGGTCGTGGTGTCTGGGAAACTCCGAGGACAGAGGGCTAAGTCCATGAAGTTTGTGGATGGCCTGATGATTCACAGTGGGGACCCTGTTAACTATTACATTGACACTGCCATGCGCCATGTGCTGCTCAGACAGGGTGTGCTGGGCATCAAGGTGAAGATCATGCTACCCTGGGACCCTACTGGTAAGACTGGCCCTGAGAAACCTTTGCCTGACCACGTGAGCATCGTGGAACCCAAAGACGAGATACTGCCTACCACTCCCATCTCAGAACAGAAGGGTAGGAAGCCAGAGCCGCCTGCCATGCCCCAGCCAGTCCCCATGGCATAACAGGGTCTCCTTGGCAGCTGTATCTGGAGTCTGGATGTTCCTCTGTAAAGACATTTAATAAAGTCTTGTACAAAGACACAAGGCGGGCTGACTATAGTGTATACCCAGGATTCAGACTGTGGATGTCAGCCAGATGCAGATGGCTGGAGATGGGTACAGATTCCAGGGATCTCGAAATTCTGAGAAAGCCTCTGCACCACTGCCTCAAAGTGGATTGGCTACTGCAAATGAGAAGCCAGAACCCCCTTCTATCAGTTGATAGTATGTTTGGGGATCCATTTGACTTTGGTGAATTTAAATTTCTCATTCTGCAAACAAGTATTTCTCTGATCATTTCTCACTAAATAGGGGCAACTCGGACTACCTTGTTTTTCTTCTGGATTGAATGCTATAGTTAAACATAAAACCAAATTTTGAGAGAATGGACCAATAATTTTCAAAAGTTGTGGGTTTTTTTCCCACTTTGAGCCACAAAGAAAGTGGTAATTCTTGTCAAAGCTTCTGGGACTGAGTATTTGGGACTATGCCTACGGAGAAAGAGACATCTTTGTAATGGGATTTCCTAAGTCATGGATAGGAATCCATACAGGTGGTGAGGTGGGAGCTGGCTCTAGTGGTGCCCTTGAGATATTGATGGCCCTAATGTCTGTTTATCCAACCCTTTCCCCAGTAAACTCTGACTTTTATCCTCTGAGAAAATAGCCCACAGGACTGGGCCCTTCTTAATTACCCATCTTGCTTCTAACCTGTGTAAATTTCTGTGGTGGCTGTCTTATGTAAGACACAGTAAAAATTTATTGTATTAGTTTCCATTAAATGTTAAAGGAAATGTTATGAAAATGTAAAACAGGCCGGGCGCAGTGGCTCACGCCTGTAATCCTAGCACTCTGGGAGGCCGAGGCGGGCGGATTGCTCATGGTCAGGAGTTCGAAACCAGCCTGAGCAAGAGTGAGACCCCGTCTCTACTATAAATATAAAGAAAATTAATTGGCCAACTAATATATATAGAAAAAAAAATTAGCCGGGCATAGTGGCGCATGCCTGTAGTCCCAGCTACTTGGGAGGCTGAGGCAGCAGGATCGCTTGAGCCCAGGAGTTTGAGGTTGCTGCGAGCCAGGCTGACGCCACGGCACTCACTCTAGCCTGGGCAACAAAGTGAGACTCTGTCTCAAAAAAAAAAAAAAGAAAATGTAAAACAAACATCTGGAAAAAAAATATTTTCTTGTTTTTTTTTCCTTTTTTTTGTTTTAGAAATAGAGTTTTTGAGACAACATGGATGAACATGGAGGACACTATTAAGTGACATATGTCAGACACCTGCGTGAGCTAACTTATTTGTGGAGTATAAAAAAGTTGAATTCATAGACACAGAGAGGTGGTTACCAGGGACTGGAAGGCAGGATGGGGAATGAGGAGATAAAAAGGGACAAAGCTTCAGCTAGAGAAGAGAAAAAAGTTCTGGAGATCTGTTGTACAGTATAGCGACCAAACAGAATGAATAATATTGTATAGTAAACTTTAAAAATCCCAACTGAGTAGATTTAAATGTTCTCATTATATATATAATTATTAGTGAGGTGAGATTTATGTTAATCAGCTTGATTTAATCATTTCACCTCAGTTGTACACCATAAATATATACAGATTGTCACTATTAATTAAATAAAAATAAAAAATTAAGGTCAAAGGAAAAACCTTACAATAATCCAAAAAGACAAATAAAAAGGAGATGAAATTATATGCAACCATATGTGTGACCCACAAAACATAAAATATTTGCTACCTAAGTTTTTATAGAACACGTCTGCCAACCCCTGCCCTAGATCCAGAACTCATACTAAACATCAAACCATATGGTTTATCACAGTTGACGCAAAGCAGCAACTGAGAAAAAACAAGCTGTCAGTTCAAAGAAGTCCTGGATAATGGAACAAATTTTGATTTACTGATTAATTGAAAAACATTCTTGTCTTTGATGACACAGAAATTTGGTGAAACTCCACTTTTAAAAGCCTCACAGGCTGGGCTCAGTAGCTCATCCCTGTAATCCCAGTGTTTTGGGAGGCAGAGGTGGGAGGATCACTTGAGGCCAGGAGTTTGAGACCAGCCTGGGCAATATCCTAAGACCTGGTTTCTAGAAAAAATAAAATAATAATAAAAAAAGCCTCATAAGGGTGACATTTTTGTCATGTACTGACTAAACAATCAAACCTTCTCCCCTTTTGCTGTGTTTTGAAAACCTGTCCCAGGGAAAAGACCAAAGTTATCTGGTATTTGAGTCTACATGGAAACCAAACACCTCCTTATGAAGCCACACTGTAAAATAAAGTTCAAACCACTATAAGGTATTTTTCTATACTATCAGATTCTTAGAACACCACAGCAATTTGATAAGGGGGACTTGAACAATTTGACAAGGGGGTATGTGAATACTCAATAGAGAGGGTTGGTCAATAGGAGTACATACAAGATACACTTGTCACACCTCTCTGGTAGGAATTACTTGGATAAATTGCTAACAGGGAGGACATTTAGGGCCATGAAAAGCAATTAGTCCTAAACTATATAAACACAAATTTAATGAACATTTAATAAAGCTGATTTTAAGATATGTAACAATTCTTATTCCTCCTCAGGATGCTTTTTCTGAAGGACAGGTGGCCTAGAAGAAGAGGGTAAGAATGAGCACCAGAGTCTTCCTGGAGTACAGACCACATTAGAAAATACCTTCCAGGGCACACCTGCCCTCAGGCCACAGCTAAAACCAGTGAGAAGTAAGAGGGCACTGGCATTCAAGAATTTTAGAGATATTTGGGACTAAGCTGTATTTTACCTGGGGTTCTAAAACATGGAGATGCCCACTCCCCTCATGTACCTAGCTAGGTACTTCTCCCCTCCCAAATAGGAATCTCATTCATGACGCTTTCTGCTCCTGTCATACAGGAGTCTGCATGGAAGACGCTTCCCGCTCTAAAGTTATCTCATGGCTATGTCTGTGCCCTTTTTGTTGACGACATTCATGACAAGGTCCTGGCTCTCACATCCCACTGGGGCCACTGCTCCCATGCAGGTACCACATGGTTGGAAGATGAAAGCAGAGGAAGCAGAAGGGACACTGGAGATACAGATTACAGTGTCGTACATAGCCACGCCCACTCAGTAGCCATGCCCCCTAATCATCCAAACACCACCCTAAACCATTCACTGACTCCCAATCCCAGGCCTTGTCACACCTACTGACTGGCAGGCCAGAGAGTCCCTGCCCATCCCTGTCAATCTGACAGAAGTGCAAAGATACATCCTGGTTGTGCCACCTCCATCCATCCTGTAGGCATGCACCTCACAGAGCAACAGAGCAGTGTCACACCTAAAACGATCAGCCCCTTTGCCAGCAAAGACACTTGAAAACACTTGTGTTACAGCTCTAAAGACAAACACTGCCCCTCTCACTTGTTCCCCCCACATTCCTAAGCAAGTGCATTGCATAATTGAATGCCCTGTCTCTGTGTCACTCCACAGAGCCCACACATACCTATCTCACCCTGCAAAGAGTCAGAGAGATATACCCAGCTGTGTCATTGGTATAGACCCCTTCAGCCAGAACCACCCCCATCACCCCAAGGACATTCACACACAGGTGTCACAGTTAATGTGACAAAGCCTGGAAGCATCACCCCACACACATACTAACACACAAGTGTGTCACAGACCAGGGGATAGGGCTCATCCCTGTCATGCAGTCCCTCTTATGCACAGACTCACTGACACACAAACATACACAAATCCTCCCACGTCTGGAAGCCACAGGTCAAGGCTCTATTTCAAGGGGGTGGCTCCCTCATTGCCATCCCCACCACATTCCTGGATTCTGGGTTCGTTACTAGAAGCGAACAAACACCCCCCCCCCCTTCAGGCCCAGCCACCACTGGGATGTCCAGACAGGGTGCAAGGGTTGAGGAGGACCCCGGATGGTGTCCTAGGAAAGTAGAGCCTGAAAGTCCCCGCATGTCCCAGCATACAATTCAGCACCCCCTTGTGGGGCTAGGCCTTGGAGACCTCTGGGAAATGGAGTCCAGAACATTCTCCTGGTGGGGGCCTGAGAATGGACCTGAAAGGGCTGTCAGAGTGGACAGTGTCACGTTGAGCACATTCTGCTCCCTGGAGACAGCCCTTCCTGTGTGAGGAGAGGCTGCATCATCCCAACTCAGACCTCATGTGGCCTCTGGATCAGGGGTGATCTAGTCAAGACGTGGCTATCCCCAGGATGATGCCCCTTTCCTAGCACTTCTCGGGCAAGGCAGCTGGGATTCTCCATAGGCCTTGCTTACAGGCTGCATTGAGCTTCTTCGATTCAGTTTCGCTTCCTTGTTGGATTATAAACAATGTACAGGTGGCAGCTATATCCCTTAGTCATTCATTCTAAGTACTAATATCATAGGGTCTGGCACAGTGCAGATACTTAAAAATTATACAATATCACAACCAGGACATGGACATAGATTGCAATAACAGATCTTATCCACAATTTCCTGAGAATAATGTTTAAGAATGAAAAAATGGAACAAATATATCACACAGTTGAGGACAGTTAAATACATTATGGTCTGCTATATAATGGTATGGAATGCCAACAGTGATACTGATTCTTTTTTTTTTTTTTTTTTTTGAGACAGGGTCTTTGCTCTGTCTCCAAGGCTAGAGTGCACTGGTGTCATCATAACTCACTGCAATTTCACACTCCTGGGCTCAAGTGCTTCTCCTGCTTCAGCCTCCTGAGTAGCTGGGACTACAGGCACGTGCCACCAAGCCTGGCTAATTTTTCTATTTTTTGTAGCAACAGGGTTTTGCTCTTGCTCAGGCTGGTCTCCAACTCCTGGCTTCAAGTGATCCTTCTGCCTTGGCCTTCCAGAATGCTAGCACTACAGGCATGAGCCACCACATTCAGCCATGACACTTATTTTATTTTTATTTTCTTTGAGACAGGGTCTCACTCTGTTGTCCAGGCAGGTGTGCAGTAGCATCATCATAGCTCACTGCAACCTCAGCCTCCTGGTCTCAAGTGATCCCCCCATCTCCTTCTCCCAA